GAAGTCATTGTGTTCCGTAAAATCTGGCTACATTTTATGTTTATGGCCTTTATTAGGGCCTCCAGCTGAGCTGGTTAAAACCATGTCTCTCTAGTCTGAAAGCCCAGGACTCAAATTCACTCATTCCAATAAGAGTGATTGAGTGTATACTGAGCATCAAGGCCGATAGGGACAATGGTAGACTCACAGGCATGATCCTTGCTTGACATGGAGCTTATAGAGCATATAAGGAGGGGACAGACATTTAAAGAATGAGTCATAAATAAAAGAATTGTAAATAAGTGTTATTAAGGATAAGGGTGAGGGACCACAGGTGTTCAGAGGGTGGTCAAAGAGGTTCATGTCTGAGTAGGGGAAGTTGTTCCAGGAAGATGAACTAGCAACTAGAAAGGCAGGCAAAGGAAACACTCAGTGTGGGCAAGAAGCCTATTCTCAGTGCCTGGCCAGAAGGGACAGGACCCAGCTTCAGGCTGACAAAAGCTGTCCAGTGTCCCCAGTGACTGCAAATTCAATACATGCCTTCACCTTAGGACCTGCATCTCATTAGTTGCTTCCATTGCCCTGTTCCATGTGACCTTTTGGTCTTCACTTCTCAGCCGTCTTTTATGTCCACCTCCCCATCCTCTGTACTTGGGGCATCAACCCACCCACCCCAGAACTCCATGCTGAGCCTTCTCGAGGCCCTCCTTCTTTGACACAAGACTTCTTGTCCCTATCCTCCACTGGGCTTGGGCTTGGGTCTTTGTGGGAAGTCATTCTAACACGTGATTGGGTGACTCCCGTTAAGGGCCAAAGTTGGCTATGTCGAAGTTTTCCCGACCCTTTCCTGATGAGAGAGCCCATCCATGTGGGGGTGTGCCTGACCACTGACCCCGGAGACCCAATCACTGACCCTGGCCTTGGAGTTCAGCCCCCCCTCAACCTTCATTGGATGGAATTCTCCCCTGAATCTCTTGTTCCCCAATAAAAGGCTAGTCCCCGGCTTGTTCACTCTCTCTCTCTCCTGCTAGCCCTGAGTAATCCCTGCTGCCCTGCTGGGCGGTTAGAGGAGCGAACCAGAGAGGGGAGCCATCTCAGACCTAGCAATAGAAATAAGGTAACTGAGTCTTGTGTTTTATTTCGATCTCTTCTAACTAACTTTATGCCTAGAACCTCATTAATGAAACCATTGCGCAGGCCGCGTGGTAGAGGTCTTGCCATCTTTTGTCAGTTAGAAATTGGGCATTTCATAGGCTAGGGCCAGCTCCCTTTCTCTCACTTCTTCATCCTCTGCCCCTCCCAAACCTCCATTGGAAGCTTTGTGACATCATTTTCCATCCCGTCTGAATGTCGGTGATTTTCTTTTCTAACCTTTGTCTACCATCCCACAGGATCTCTGAGATGAGCTGAGCATAAGACTTTTGAGGTTCTTTCTTGGGACATGCTGTTGGTCAGTAGAGCCACTCATCATCTAGGAATCAGTGAGCACAGGCCTTTCCTAATTGACTTCAGTGTCACCGGCAGGGTCAAGGAATGGTGACATGTATGCTGAGCCTGCATCTTCTGTTCCAAACCCTGGATGCTCCCCAAAACCCAAAGGCTGTATCCAAGGCAAATGCTGCCCCCTTTCTAGAAAATTCCTTTTCACAGAAGGGAGGAGACTGGAGGTGACCTCTGTGTTAACAAGCCTCTGAGAAGAGAGCCCATGCACCCCTGTCTGATGGGAAGGCAGCCTGTCCTCTGCAGGCTGTTTGCTCCTCAGAAATGGATGTACAGAAGCCAAAGAGAAGCAATTATGATACTTTTTACAAATGAATAACAGGCACAGACTGAGGGCTTCTGTGTTCCAAGCACTGCCACAGGGGCTTGCTGAGGCCACAGACCTTTGGAGTACCCCACATCATGAGAGTTTCTTAGACCAGAGGTTAATTAACCCCAAATCACCACCCAGCCGGCACCCAGCAGGCCCAGAACTGGTTGAGATGTCCTGTCCCTACATACATGATGCTTTCAATTCCTTGACTGCCCACACTGAGGCTGGCACAGTATTAAACACCCTCTCCGCACTGTGAGCCTGGGGAGAGGAAGTTGCCTGCCAAAGATACAGAATGACAAGTAGCAGAGGTAAAATTTGAATCCAGTTCGCCCGGACTCCGAAGCTGTGCTATTAAATTTGACTCCCTTCTCCCAGCCAGCCAGCTTTGCCTCACTTCTCCTGAAAATCCATGGTTTGTTCTGAGCATCGCTTAACACACCGCCAAAGGAGAATTTAAAGAACTAAGAGAACCTTTTGAAAGAGGGAAGGGGATGATTAATTAAACCTGCAGTTTCTGTGGTGCTAGATGAGGAAAAGGTGAGGTGGGGACCACAGATAAAACAGGCTAACCTAGTTGAAGCCAGTATGGGGAGGTGACCATGAACTGATTCCAAATGATGAGTTGGGGAAGCAGGGCACGGTAGAGTATGTCATCCCAGGTGCAGAGATCTAGCAGTGAGAGAAGAGCCGAGTGTTGGAGGAAGGAATTCAATATGGCTGCAGCCTAGAATGTATCAGGAAGCACAACCAGAGAGTGGGAGGAGTAGGATCCAAGCCCAAATCAGAAGGTGCTTGTGGGGGCATGGTTCAGGGGAGAGGTGTGATTCAGTTCCCACCTTCAGAAGATCTCTCTGGCTGCAGTGTGTAGAGGAGTTTGGAGGAAGACAGGAGGAAAGAGATCACTTGTTTGGCAGTAGGTACAGAGATGACCATGGCCTGGACAAGGGAGGTGGCCTCGCGGATGGGGAGAGGGAAGTGAATTCAAGAGACTGACAGCGAGTTTACTCTCCTTTGTGACTGTGTCTAAAGGCACAAGGAAAGATGCAGCCGCTGTCGCTGCTGTTCTGATCATAGTGACTGCAGCTGTGCCCACTCTCGGGTGAATGGTGAGACTCTGAGACACAGGTTTTCTAACAAAAGTGCTTTGGTGTGAATCATGTTCTGTGTTGTGTTGTTGAAACAGGTCAAGTAATAGCCTCCGCTCCGCTTGCAAAAAGAATAATTACCCTGGCCCTTTGTGTTGTCAATAACCTATTCACAGGATTTAGAGGTTTTCATTGAAAATCAGAGTGCAGTGAACTGAAAATCAGTACGATCCCCAGAGCACACGGGTCCTGGAAAGGAAGGTGCACCACCTGGAGCCTTCCACAGATCCTTTTGTCTTCAGTACCAGCTGTGTGGTCGTGGACAAAGGGTCGTTCTTTGGTCTAGTTTCCCACTTGGAATTGGAGATAATGACAACCACCTTGCAGGGTTATTCTGAGGACCCCACCGTATAATTTGTATACATGACAGCTGAGACTGACCAAGTGCTTGTGATGGATTGGGTACTTCGTATGGAATTGCCTTAATCTTCTCAACAACCTTATGAGATAGGTACTATGATAATCCCTGGGGAGAAGAAAAACAAGCACAGACAAGATGAAGCGACTTCCTAAAGGCCACACAGCTAGTGTGAAGCAGAGCCAGGAGCTGGACTCCAGCAGCCCAGTTGCAAACCCTTTGTTCACAACTATCAGGTTTCATTGCATCCCCACGGGCACAGGGCAGCACCTGCCACAAAGACCCTCAGTGGGAACACTCCTTTCCAATGAGCCTAAGTGATATATTAAACATAAGATAAGCCGAGGTAACTGATAAGTCAGTAAATTGCCTTCCAAATCCAACAGGCTTCAGGATCACCCAGGTGACAGAGATTGGCAAGAGAGTCCTTCTAACTAACGCATTTGGGACTGAGCTAAACCCCAATCTGTCTCTGCCTCAGACCCAGACTTATCATCATGGTTGGGCATCCATTATACAAGTGAATATTATCCACCAATTATCGCATTGACAATCCTCGGCAAGTGGCCACTATTATCCACCAAAGATCTTGACTTCTTTCCTTCAGAAGCCACATTCATCAGCTCTGATGAGGTTTTCAGATTCAGCTCCCATTCAGCAAGCATCAACCTTTTATATATTGATCAATTGACCAATTAAGCATCGATCCTTTCTTTATCCAATAAGTACTTGTTTCTCTGTGGCTCTGTAGGAGGTGCTAGAGATGAGACATGAATGAGGTACAAGTTCTGCCTTGCAGGAACACAGGGTGAGTGAGGCTGACTGATCAGAAAGGAAGTTGTGATATCCAGAGGTATGAGGTCCAGAGGAGGGAGCAACTGGCTCTGCCCAGAGGACTGAGCAAAGATCCCACAGTGTTGGGGCCCCACGGTCAAGGTCTTGAGAGGTGAACCTTTTCAGCTGATGAAGGAGTTGGTAGAACGTTCTAAAATTTCAAACAGAATTGGCAAAGGCCTAGAAACGCAAATAGGTGTGCATGTTCAGGATCATGGAAAGATCTGAATGGTGAGAACTTCAGGATACCACCTATTGACATTCAAGAGCACAAGGCCACATTTTTTTTCTTTCAAAATCAAATTGCATCCAGACTCCCCAAGGTTGGGTGATAGTTTAATATCATTCCTTTCTTTGCAGATTTCTCTCCTTTAAGTTCCAAAGCCTGGGAAAAATGGGGTCGGAGAAGTATAACTGGCTCTTTCTCCGTTGTGACCACTAATCCCTGGCCAGGCCCATGGGGTCCATGTGAAGATGGATGTCTCTGTTGGGAATTCTTTCTGGTCCCTTTAGAGGATCATCATCAAGGATTTTGTTAACTTCTCCCCCAAGGCAGGGAGAAGCCAGGTCTTTGGTTACAAAACATCTGGTCTCATTTTGGCCAAGTAGGTTTCATGGACAGAGAGACAGAGAATATTAATTCTTTGCAAGTAAACCCACAGCAATAATAACCAAGCCATGAACCAATGACTCAATAACTAGGCTTCTTTAGGAGTAGAAATCAGATACCACTTATTTCTTCTCAGTATCAGGGGAGACAAGGTGAAGCTGGATTCCCCATGCTCCGTGTTGAGTGGTCATCCGTGGCCTGGTTTTGAGGTGCACAGCCTAGTCCGGGCACTGATGAGTGACTCCTTGTCTTCTGCAGGTGTGGCAGTGTGGTGGGAGTGTGGAGGTCCTGCCCTGCTCGCGGATCGCACACATTGAGCGAGCCCACAAGCCCTACACAGAGGACCTCACTGCCCATGTCCGCAGGAACGCACTCAGGGTGGCTGAAGTTTGGATGGATGAATTTAAAAGCCATGTCTACATGGCATGGAACATACCCCAGGAGGTAGGAAGCTTTGGTGGGGCTGGGTTTGATGGGGATAAAACACAAAACTGGGACTAAATTCTGTCATGCTAGATGGGACAGTCAGCCCCAATGTATGCTGGCAAAGGGCTGACTCTGAGTCTTGAGGCCATTTTTTTGCCCCTACCCGTCCCTGATTGATGCATGATTATAGAAGCACTTGTTCTTTCTGAACCATAGTGACCTCATTTTAAATCAAATTTGAACCAGATGGCTGCAAGTTTCCTGCCTGCTCCCATCCCTCAGTTTCTCTGTCATGAGGTGTTTCGTGGTCTGGGATTATCAATAATGACAACAGTTCACAAAATGCAACTTGATCCCCATGTAGTATTTTTTTTTTTTTTTTTTGGGCGGGGGAGATTACTGGGGATTGAACTCAGGGGCTTTCAGCCACTGAGCCCATCCCCAGTCCTATTTTGTATTTTATTTAGAGACAGGGTCTCATTGAGTTGCTTAGCACCTTGCTTTTGCTGAGGCTGGCTTTCAACTCACAATCCTCCTGAATCAGCTTCCCGAGCTGCTGGGATTACAGGCATGTGCCACTGTACCCAGCTTCATGTACTCTTGATTGGAGCTTCTCCACTGAACCTTTGACCAGAGCGATAAGTAATGTCCATATGCCTGTGTGGCATTTCCTGAACCATATGAATAGGGAAACAGATACTCAACCACAGGGATCCTCAGTAGGAGAAAGGAATGGTTCTGGACATTTTTTAGGTCATTTCTGATCTTCACAGAACCTCATCATTGCCTGTCACTTTCCCCTAGACCTCTAGATATCTGCATCTCAGAAGTGCAAGAGAAAAAGCCATGCCTCTCTAGTAGTTTGGTTCAGCTTTGCCATGTGTCACATGGAAATAACCTTGGAATGCTGAGTTAGGAAAAACCCACCAGATGTCGGCTGCAGCGTTCCAACCTGCTTACCAGCTTGTCTGCCTGGAGTTCATTGCTTATGTTGCATTCTGTGTGATAGAGCTGTTGACTGCATGACCTCTTTCTTTCCTCCCAAGGCTGTGGCATCCCCTTGGGAGTCCTTTAGAAAGCTTTAGCTCTCTTTCTAATAGGGAAATGATTGATCTTTGCTTGAAGTTTCTATATAAAGGACTTGTACCCTAAACTTTCTACCAATGTTGTTCTGGCTAAATTGCTGAGAAAGTAGGAAGAGCCTTGTGTGGGAGCTTCAGACAATCTCCCTCCTCAGGCATCAGGGACTTGAGTTGGGTGGCATCCTCCTGCCGTCAGTGAGATTTCAGCAGTTGGGAGGGGAAATGAGGAATCAAGGAATATGAGCCAGAGCTCAGCCAACCCTAATGAAGCAGCCCAGGGTTGTCACCCCAACAGTGAGCATTTCTAGGGAAATCATCAC